AAATAAAAATCTTAAAAAAAAAAAACTTTCCTGGGAGCCATACCTAATAAACCTTAACTCTTATATCATTGGCCAGAATTGAGTCACATGGCTGGTCCTAGCTGCAAGGAGCCTGTGGAAGTGAACACTTTTAAGTGATTACATCTCCAACCTGAATAAAACTAATGTTCTCTCCATGAGAATGAGGTGGGGTGGGAGAATAAAAGATAAACTGCTAGAAATGTCTGACATGGGAGCCATATAGGATAATAAACACTGGCTCTTTTTCGTGACTGCAAATAGCCTCTTTTCTGCTTGTAATTTTATGGTAAGCCTGAGCACAGCATTTTGATGGTCACTTGTATAATTATGGAATAAAACAGAATAATTTCTTAGGCTAGGCTCCACAGAAGCAGAGCCTGAAACAGGGATTTAGGTGCATGTGCTTTGTTATGGACATACTCATAGGAGAAACCTAGAAAGGAATGAGGGGAGCAGTCAAGGGAAGAGAAATGAGCAAAGCAAGGATGCATTCCCATGTGAAGTTTTGCAATAGTCAGACACACAAGGCCTATGAGCCTACATCAGAATAAAGAGGTACTCACCTTGAAGAAGCTCAGATTTTTACCCTTGACAAATCAATCAACCTGCTACCAACTCTTGTGGTAATGGGGCCTGTGTTACCCCCCACCCCCAGCTTCTCTGGGCAATGCAATGCGCATTGGTCAAGAGCAGATTGCAAATATAAATTGTTTCCCAAAGCACTTGCTTCAGTTGAGGGGATGGGTACTTCACTCTTAATGTGGATCTGGATGGGCACCAAGAGCATCTACAAACATTAATTTGGATATACTCTCCAAGGAACTGCCTTTATTTCTACTTTCTATTGTTTGAGACTGTATCACTAGATGTACTGCTATGATTAAAAGCTATTGGAAAAACTGGCAATGAGTTAAAAATGTCTCATTTTTAAGAAAAATTATTAACAGGTATTGACTTGTTTTGTTGCATCACAAATATAGAAAGTGTTTTATAGGTATTAACTGGGATTTAGTCTGTAGTTCACATTCTCATCACAGCATGTAAATATTTCATAGTCTTAGTGTCTCATTTTAAGCTAAATGAATATTTAATTGAAGTTGACCAACGAAATAACTAAAAGAATTATGTTGCATTTAGTTAGGCTTGAAATGATCAAGCTCTTCATTTTCTCAAGTAGTTGGAAGCTAAAATCATTCCAACCTCATTAAATATTCTACATAATTTTATAAGTGATTAAAGGGCTGCAACATAAGCTTGAAAGGCACATGTTACATATTGAGAGAAATAAAATGAACTTTCAACTTTAAATTCAAGACAATAGTTTAATATTTTGTGGCCTACAACATTACTTATTCCGTACTGAATTCGTTTTTACCTATTGTAAATAACTGTCTTTTTAACACAAGAACTAAAAGTACAATCTTTTCTTTGGCCCTGGAAAATTATATATTCTAGAACGATGATGTACAAACACCTATAAGATTGACATTAACAGGAAAACATCGATGACCCATCCCAGTACATCAGGCCACAAGTTTTTCTGAACTCTGGGCCTAGCAATGAGTCAGATATGGGAAATAATTTCTAAAAAAGATACAGATAGAAAACTATTGGTTCATGTTCAAAGTAGAGATGATTCTACTTCGGAAAGAAGCTTCCCTACAGTCTGTTAGATCTCCATACATGTCAGAACTGACTTTCAAAAAGATATGTGCTCTAAGCTATGGAACTTAACGCTGATGACATGGGACATGTCACTTGTACCAAATTTGAACACATTTTAATTGAAATCAAAGCATTGCTAATCAATCCATGTTAAACCTGCTAGGAGTTCTGGCCAAGATGGAGGTGGAGGTAGAAATGCTTTGCTTCCTCACACAACCAAAAGAAGAATAACAACCAACTTAAAACCAATAAATAACCAGAAGTGACAGAAAATCAAACTGCATGGAACTCTGACAACCAAGGAATTAAAGAAACATTCACCCAGACTGGTAGGAGGGGTAGAGACAGGCAGCTGAAAGGAGAGGATGGATGCGCGGCAAGGCAGCAGACTATGTGGGCAAGGCAGGGCTGGATGAACAAGAAACTGAAGACTCAAAGCTAGCTGTAAAATACTACAGGGGTTGCGAGGCCAGGAGAAACTCCCAGTGTCACAGAAGGGTTCATGGGAGAGTGAGGGTACAGCAGAGCAAGTGTGTGCCATTGTTCCATCTCTTACCCCTCCCCCACATACAGCACCACAACGCAGCAAAGAAGGTTGCCCCACCCTGGCAAATACTTACGGCTCCAACCCCTTACAATGTAACAGGTGCACCAAGACAAAGAAATACAGCCTAAATGAAAGAACAGATCAAAACTCCAGAAAAAGAGCTAAGCAACGAGGAGATAAACAACCTATCTGATGCAGAGTTCAAAACACAGGTAATCAGGATGCTCACAGAACTGATTGAGCTTGGTCACAAAATGAAGGAACAAATGAAGGTTACCCAAAGTGAAATAAAGCAAAATATACAGGGAAGCAACAGTGAAGGAAAGGAAACCAGGGCTCAAATCAACAATTTGGAACAAAAAGAAGAAATAAATATCCAACTGGAACAGAATGAAAAAAAAATACAAGAACTCAAAAAAAAATGAGGAGAGGCTTAGGAATCTCCAGGACAACTTTAAATGCTCTAACATCTGAATCATATGGGTGCCAGAAGGAGAAAAACAAGAGCAAGAAACTGAAAACTTATTTGAACAAATAATGAAGGAAAACTTCCCTAATCTGGTGAAGGAAATAGACTTCTAGGAAGTCCATAGAGCCCCAAAGAAGTTGGACCCAAGGAGGAACATACCAAGGCACATCATCATTAAATCATGCAAGATTAAAGATAGAGAATCTTAAAAACAGCAAGAGGAAAGGAGAAAGCTGCCTACAAAGGAGTGCCTGTAAGGCTATCAACTGATTTCTCAAAAGAAACCTTGCAGGCAAGAAAGGGCTAGAAAGAAGTACTTGAAGTCATGAAAGGCAAAGACCTACATACAAGACTGCTCTATCCAGCAAAGTTTTCATTTAGAATGGAAGAGCAGATAAAGTGCTTCCCAGATAAGGTCAAGTTAAAGGAATTCATCATCACCAAGTCATTATTATATGAAATGTTAAAGGGACTTATCTAAGGAATAGAAGACCAAAAACTATGAATAGTAAAATGACAACAAACTCACAACTATCAACAACTAAACGTAAAAAAAAAAAAAAACTAAGCAAACAATTAGAACAGGAACAGAAACAAAGAAGTGGAGATCACATGAAGGGTTTTCAGTGGGGAGGGGGAGGGTAAGAATGGGGAGGGGAAGGTACAGAGAATAAGAAGCATAATTGGTAGGCATAAAATAGATGGGGAGAGGTTAAGAATAGTATAGAAAACAGAGAAGCCAAAGAACTTATATGTACAACCCATGGACTTGGATTAAGTTGGTGGGGGAATGCTAGAAGGTACAGAGTGGTACAGGACAGAGGGTGGATAAAGGGGAGAAAGAAATTAGGAAAATTGTAATAGCATAACCAATACGATATACTTTATTTTTTTTAAGATTTTATTTATTTATCTTTAGAGGGGAAGGGAAGGAGAGAGGGAGAGAAACATCAATGTATGGTTGCCTTTCGTGCATCCCCTGCTGGGAACTGGCCTTCAGGGAACCGGCCTGTAACCCTGGCATGTGCCCTGACTGGGAATCGAACCACAATTGTCTGGTTCGCAGGCCTGCGCTCAATCCACTGAGCTACACCAACCAGGGCCCAATACAATATACTTTAAAAAGCTGCTAAAAGTACCACCTGATAAACAGTATATAAAAGTTTGAATTCTTTATCTAATTACCTAAATTACATTTTAATTATAGGATGTAAATAATCTAAGAATAGTCTTTGTTTTGGAGAACAGAACATGGGGCAGAGATACAATGTTGTTGATAAACACAGCAATGAGTATTAATTGGTCATCTTGGGTTTTTTCTTTTTGATCTTAGTTCCTTTTTAAGATATTCAAATGGATTGCCTTTGTCAACTTTCAATATGCCAGAATATATGTGTGTGTTATGTGTATAATCATACACATTAAGAAGTACAGGCACTTCTCTGATAATGGCACCTCTTTCCTTCACTTGTACAATTCTTGGCATGACACCGTCTGGTCCTCAGGGAGGGGAACCATAACTGGTATGGAGAAAAGGAGAGAAAGTATCTTTCTGTTGCTATGTAATGAGGCATTGAGAATCAAACAAAACTATTTAGTTAATAGCAACTGAATAAACAAAAGTGATGGCCTATAGAACAGCTTATCCCATCCAGGGGAGAAGATGAGAGAAAGTTTGATAAAATATCATATGATTTCACTTATATGTGGAATCTAAAGAAACAATATTAATGAACAACAGAAACAGACTCATAGATATAGAGAGTAGACTGATGGTTGCCAGAGGGGAGGGGGTTGGGGAAATGGGTGAAAAAGGTGAAGGGATTGAGAGGTACAGATTGATAGTCATACAATAGTCACCAGGGTATAAAGTACAGCATAGGAAATATAGTCAATAATACTGTAATAACTATTCATAACACCAGGTGGGTAGATGAAATATCAAGAAAAACATTTTTTAATATATATGATTGTCTAACCACTATGCTATACACATGAAACTAATACAAAATAATATTGAATGTAAACTATAATTTTAAAATAATTAATTATTAAAATAAAAGTTAATAAGCACTAGCCAAGAAAGGTGAACATTTGGCATCCTACAACCAATGTGCCTGATCAGAAACAGAAACAGGGATACCTTTTCTTTGTTTGGCATACCTTTGCTCCATAATTTGTTTTTTCAGAAAAACTAGCCTTAACATTTACACTGGGCTCCTATTTTCTCAAATCTACTTAACATTTAGTAGATGTAACATTTTAAGATTGCATTTTTCCCAATGGCATGTGACTTACCTGCTTATCAAAAGCTACCCAGGATGGTACTCCACTTCCCATTTCTTTAGGAAACACACTGTATTTAGGCTTCGACCTTTCCCTGAGAGGCAGTTCACCTATTCCAGGTTTACCTTCAGCCACCAGCATTCTGTGGAACTTATCCTTTCCCACCTGTGAACACAAAAGATAACATAAAATGGCCAAACTTGCTCTTTAAGACTTTTCTTACTTGTTTTAAAAGGTAAGCACACTTCCCATCATTTATTTTTCCCATTACAAAATGCATATTAGAGTGGGAAATAATTATAATCAATCTTTCTCCATAAAGTTGTGTCATATTTTAAATTCAATTCATTTTAACAAATTTGAAACTTTGGAAAGCAATAAGAATAAGCCCAATGCTCCATGCTATTTAAAACATTAAAAAATATCTATTACCACAAGTGAACATTTAGAACATTAGCTTGCTAATTGGCATATTCCACTTATTTGCAAAGAACAAAAACAAGGGGGGAAAAATTCCTCTACTTCAGAGTAAAAAATGTAAGTTTCCAACAGAAATCAAATATTATTTTCACCAAAACAGAGAACAAAAACTTTTGCTCATTAAACTATATATAACAGGAAATTCCACAGAGCTGACATTCTCCTCCTAATTGCAGAACCTTACCCTCCCTCTTCCTCACTCTTCTCCCGTCTTTTCTGGGGATCTGGGCAGAGAGGTAAAAGCCTGGAAAATGCTACCAAGGGCTGGCAAATTATGTTGGCCAACACCAACTCACATGTAGTGTTAGAAGGAAAGTAAAGCAGAAGAATCCTTCTGAGTTATGACAATACCTAGCAAAATGAAAGGTATATGCCCTACAGACTAGGAAGTTCACCCCTAAACATCTTTTGTGTTGTGCAAAAGGTGCTATTTATCAGATAATTTGTTATAGCAGTGTTTGTGTGAGTAAAAATTAGGAACCATCTCAATATCCATCAATAACAGAAAAGATACCTCAATTATCTTCTCTTTATAAAATAGAATATTAACATAGAGGTCTAAATCACATATATCCATAGGGATAAATCTCAAAATATTTCAAGTAAAATAAATAGGTAGTAGAAGGGCACATTAAATTTGATAATTCTGCATCTGTAAAGTCTGAAAATATTTTAAAATACAGTATTATTTATGGATAATATAAGCACAGAAATGATAACTAGCAAATTCAAGATAACATAATATATACAGTATGTGATACAATAAATATCATATGAGGTCTATCTGGAAAAAGTCCAATGATTGTTAATATATCAAGAATGGTTTGTGTGACACTGATGTCAACTGGCAGCCAAGGAGAGTAGACTGGAATGTGCATGCATGAACAATGATGATTTCACTGTACTAGTCAGTGGGAGCAGTAGACTCCATTGAGTGACCATGTGTACTGTATGGCCTTCACATTCAAAATGACTGAGTTGAGAAAAAATATGCATCAAATTTTACATTAAGCTTGAACATTCCTCCACAGAAACTATTCAGATAATTCAGAAGGCCATAGCTATGGGCAACTGGTGATTGGCAGCTTCATCATGACAACATGCCTGCTTGTGTACCACATCTTCTGGCAGTTCTTTTGGCAAAACATCAAATAACCCAGGTGACTCAGCCCCACTACAGCCCAGATTTAGTGTCCTGCAACTCTTGACTTCCCAAAACTAAAATCACCTTTGAAAGGGAAGAGATTTCAGAAGACAAGCAACCCAATTAAAAAATGGACAAAGGACTTGAACAGACACTTCTCCAAGGAAGATATACAGAGGATCCAGGGACACCTGAAAAGATATTCAGTATTGCTAGCTATCAAAAAGATGCAAATTAAAACCACAATGAGATACCACTTTACACAGAGAATAAGTAGCATAAATGGTAGGCGCAAAATAGACAGGGGGAGGTTAAGGTTAGTATAGGAAATGGAGAAGCCAAAGAACTTATATGTATAACCCATGGACATGAACTAGAGGAGGAGAATGCAGGTGGGTGGGGTGTGTGCAGGGCAGAGGAGAATAAAAGGGGAAAATGGGACAACTGTAATAACATAATCAATAAAATATATTTTTAAAAAATGAAAAAAGAAATCCAATTTAAAAATGGACAGAGGATCTGAGTAGACATTTTTTCCAAAGAAGACATTATAAATAGCTGACATACATATAAAAAGATGTTCAGCATCACTAATTATCAGGGAAATGCAAATTAAAACCACAAGGAGATACCACCTCACACCAGTTAGAATGGCTGTTATAAAAAAAATAACAAGCATTGGCAAGGATGTGAAAGAAAGGAATCCTCATACACTGTTGGTGGGTATGTAAACTGGTATGGCCACTACAGAAAACAGTATGGAGGTTCCCCAGAAAACTAAAAATGGAACTACCATATAATCCAGCAATTCCACTTCTGGGTATTTATCTGAAAATGACAATACTAATTTGAAAAATACATGCTTCTGCCCCTTCATGTTAAAATCGCAGCATTATTTACAATAGCCAAGATATGGAAACAACCTACGTGTCCACCAATTGTTGAATAGATAAAGAAATGTGGTATATATAATAAAGTATCATTCAGTCATAAAAAGAATGAAATCTTGCAATTTGCAAAATCATAGGTGGACCTTGTGGGCATTATGTTAGGTAAAATAACAATATCATATGATCTCATTTATATGTAGAATCTGATAAAAAAAAAAAACCTCACAGATATACAGAACAGATTCTTGGTTACAAGAGGTGGAGGGTTGGGGTGATGGACAAAATGAGTAAAAAGGGGTCAAAGGTACAAATTTCCCACTATAAAATAAATAAATTGTGTAATGTAATGTACAGCATGGTGACTATAGTTAATAATACTGTACTGCATATTTGAAATATTAAGGAAGTAAATCTTTTTAAAGATTTTATTTATTTCCTTTTAGAGATGGGAAGGGAGGGCAAAAGAGAGGGAGAGAAACAGCAGTGTGCAAGACATAGATGGATCTGTTGCCTCTCTCATACCCCCAACCAGGGACCTGGCCCACAACCCAGGCATGGGCCCTCACCAGGAATCGAACCACTGACCTTTCAGTTCTCAGGCCAGCACTCAGTCCACTGAGCCACACCAGCCAGGGCTAATGGTGTAAATCTTAAAAGTTCTCATCACAAGAAAAAATTCTTGTAACTATGTACAGTGACAGATGTTTAAGTAGACTTATTGTGGTGATCATTTTGCAATGCATACAAATATTGAATCATTACATTGTATACCTGCAACTAACATAATGTTATATGTCAATTATACCCCAATAAGAATAAAAATAAATTACTCAATATTAAAAAGGAAAGAAAAGACCTTGTTTCCTCTTATAGTGAAGGTAGCCTAAAATAATGGGGAAGGGTCTGTGCAGCCCTGCCCAGGGGAGCCAAGCCACAGCAGCTGCCCTGAGCAGATAAACAGCCCAGCTAGAAGGCTGTGGGAGGAAAGCTAGAGGCAGTGGTTAGGATGGTGAGCTGCAGCCTGACACTGTCCCTTAGAGAATCCATAACTACCACCTCAACCAGCCCCCCACACTCCCTCACACTCACAACCACACACAGAGGCAGACACACACACACGGGTTACCACAAGTCAGTCCCAATCACCACAGCAAAGCAAAAAGTGAGTTGGTTACAATGAATGTTGGAATAACATAGAATTTTATAAGAATGTTTTAATCAACAAAACAAACAAGCCAGGAAAATATAACCAGAGACACTGAAATAAAGAACAAACTGATAGTAACCAAAGGCGGGGAAATAGAGGGAAAAAGAAGAGGAAGGGTAGTCAAGGAACATTTATAAAGGACCCATGGACAAAGCCAAAAGGGGCTAAGATTTAGGGTGGGAGGTGGGGTTGGCTGGGGCAGGGGAAAGTGGTGGGGGAAAAGGGAGACAACTGTACTTGAACAACAATTACAAAATCAATGTTCACTCCCTCCTTGGAAGCAAGTAATGTGCAGAAATCACAAACTTACCTCAGGTCAAACCAGTAAATGTTTCTTAAGCATTTACTATGTTTCTAGCTTTGTGCCAGATATACTAGTTAAAATAAGCATGGTGACTATAAAGAAGTCTCCATGCTTATTGTGTCCTTGCCTTAAATGACATGCTTATTTCAGTCCTTGCCTTAAAGAAAAACCTATACCCTTGTTGATGATGCAAGATTTAGATATATAAAACAACTAGCAAACTAAAAGCCAGTATAACTACCATGTTTGATCACTTACAGTGAGCTAGACTCTTTACCTAGGAATTTATATACATTATCTAATTTCACCATCACAAAACTAGTGATAGGTGCTATTATTGACATGTTACCAATAAGGAAACCAAGGCAAAGAGAGGTAGACTACCACCCCCACAATTACACAGTAATGAGTAGACCCTTGCATCTGAACTAAGTTCACATGACCCTAAACTCTGGTAAGTTTATTCATCCAGAGCTGTCTACTGCCAGCTGGGGTAGTTGTGTTGAGGTGCTATGGGTAATTGGATACTGTCTTGGGCCTGGAGGAATGGGATGAATTAGACAGGAGAGGAGAGGCAAGGATGTTCTGGAAAGGATTATAAGTGATGCACAGCACCTGAGCTGACAGTACCTAGTATGAGGGGCAAGGCTAATAAAAAAGACAAGCTCAAGTTTGGAAGGAGGATGAGATAGAGCAAAATATGTAAGGAGATTTAGATTATGGAAAGCCTCACATTTAAATACCACATACATCTAAAACTCTTCTTGAGTGAGGATAAAATATAGTGAAAGAGTATCTGGGGTGGCGGTGTTCTAAATGGACTGAAAACTATTTTATTTATTTATTTTTTAAAAGATTGTATTTATTTATTTTAGGGGGGGGAGGGAAAGAGAAAGAGGGCAGAAGGGAAAGAGAAAGAGAGGGAAAGAAACATCAAGGTGTGGTTGCCTCTTATGTGCCCCTACTGGGGACCAGGCCTGCAACCCAAGCATGTGCTCTGACTGGGAATCAAACTGGCAACCCTTTGGTTCACAGCCCATGCTCAATCCACTGAGCTACAGAAGCCAGGGCTGGAAACTGTTTTATAATCATCAGACTGGTAAGAATTAGAGAGCTAGAAAACATAAACTGTTGGAGAGA